CTTTATGAGCAAGGCTGACTGTGTAGTCTCTCTCTATGAGCAAGGCTGACTGTGTAGTCTCTCTCTATGAGCAAGGCTGACTGTGTAGTCTCTCTCTATGAGCAAGGCTGACTGTGTAGCAGGTTAATTGTAGCAGTCCAGGCCAGTGTGTCTATACGCCTGTGTATGCGGACAGAAAGAAATTTTTAAAGATTTGAGGGCAGATTATGCCCCCACTTTCTAAAAATGGAGGCATTTACAAAATTTTGGGGCCACTATTTAAAAATAGTAATTAATACATGAAGTTTTGCCCAGAATAAAATGCACACAGTAATTGCCTGCCGACATGAGTAAATAACAAATCATACTGTCGCTGTTTCAGAGAGAAATGTGCAATCATCTGTAAACATATAGAATACCATCTGTATGCGAGAGAAAGTAGGAGATGGTTCTATTTAGGCTATTTAGCTCCTAATATCCTTTGTATATGTATCATGCATTAGTTCATAAAGTGAAAATTTCTTTCAAATGAAGTAGCTTACAGCCATTTTTTTCCTTTAAAAACAACATCTTTAGAAACTGTTGAAGGTCTTTTAAAAATATGTGGGGAAAAATATGTAAGTGTTTTACAACTGTAAATGCAAACTGGTACCTGCAACAAAATTAAACAAATATTGCAAATTACGACGTTAACCTCTGAGCTGTTTGGCAACGGTTTAGACAAAATGAAATGAGTTCTGATTATTTTTCGTCTCCAGCTACCGTGACAAGCTTATTGAATGAGTCTGTGCAATGTCACGACTGAGGCACTCACATTGTTTACAACTACGAAGCAATAAAAAAATATTCTTAAAAATCGGTTTTAACACACAAAAGGTACATTGATATAAACGGTATCATGTCATCCCATATCTCCTTTTGAAAATATATCAATATACCGTGTAAATTCGATGTGCCTCCCAGCCATAGGCAAAGTCATGGAAAAGCAGACAATCCAGCCTGTTTTGTTTTTGGATGAACATTTTTATTAAATAAAAGTGCTCTCTGCCCGGTATCATAATAGTGTTAAATAGTAGTATGTAGTTACATGTTATATGAAGTTATTTATGCACGATGAACAACAGCTGTCTTTAACTCTAACTCTAATCTAACACACACGTACAAATTAGTTGGATTTTGGGGGGCATTTTTAATTATTTATAGTTTCGGTCTTATGGGCATTCTGAGATTTCTTGGAGCATTTTTGCCCTTTGTCCCCATTAATTTCTGATGCTGGGGTGATACTATTCCCCCCCCCCTCCTAAGCTGCTTCCTCCTGTGACTGTTTCCATGCTTTCCACTGTTATTATTTGATGACCATCTGTAAGTTGGGGTTTGTGCTGAAATAAATCTGAGAAACTCATCAAAGGAACAGCCGTGCTGAGGACAGGAGGGGGCGCTTTTCAAGGGTGGTGAGGGGTGGGGGCACCTCATGCTATGTAACGGGCGATTTTGCGCCTCTTAACTTGCACTGGATAAGAATAATTCTGTCCCCGTGGCCAAGAGATTTTGGTTTACAAGATAAGCTATGGTGTACCCCCCCCCACCCCCAACGCACAGCTGAAAGGGCCAGTGCCTGCTTTGGATGGGGATTTGGGACGTGATGCTGAAGCCTTATTAATGTCAACATGTTTCTTTTGGGTATTAATGTTGTCTTTTACCCCGGAAGCTTTATACTTTTATCTTTCAGGGGGGTGGAACCTTTGACTGCTTTTGATAACCAACCCCCCCCCCCCCGCCAACAAAGTGGGTCATTCTGCGATGTTGCTGGCTGGTCTCCGAGGTTGTGCTCCCCTGATGGTCATGTGCAGTGTCGGAAAGTTCTGGAAATGTGGAGAACCAGTTGCACACTGGGCACACAAGCACATCCAGCTCTAACTGCTGTGTGGGGGGGGGGGGATGAGGGGTTGCAGATTAAAAATGACAGTAAACCCAGGAACAGCCACTGTATTGCAGCCCTATTGGTGTGTGAGGACATATTAAGTAATTTACATTTGATTTTTTTGTTATAAATTGGTAATTTCTCTTTCCCAGTTTGAGGCGTGTTGTTCTTCAGTGGTTACCTTAGCGATTACATCACCCTTATGGTTCCCTGGCCTCTTTTGATTGGCACCTGGAAATATTTATGCAAGTGGAGTTATGCTCACAAAGGTTGATCCAGCAGGATGCGTAACATCGTCTCTTGATGTGGTGTTTTGACTGGCCTCAAATTGCTGTTAGAACTTTACTGATTCCTCCTGGCCTGGTCCGGTCCTGGCCTGGTCCGGTCCTGGCCTGGTCCTGGCCTGGTCCTGGCCTGGTCCTGGCCTGGTCCTGGCCTGGTCCTGGCCTGGTCCGGTCCTGGCCTGGTTCTGGCTCGGCCCACTCCTGGAAACGCAGTCCAGAGGCCAGCTGATGTGTCTGTTTCCACAGTCTCTAGAAGCCGTTACTTTCGTACTTTTTACTGAGTTTTTAGCGATAGACTGACAAAGGACAGTGAATTAAGTTGAATAATAATTAAAAAACCGGTAATAGCCCCCTATTCAGTATCAGGAGTGTTTTCAACAGCACATGTCATGTTTGACTCGCGGGTCAAAATCCTCTCGTTGTTGTTGGCCCCATTTCTCTGGCTCTCAGCTCTCCAGCACTGAACCCGGTCCTCATTAAAACAAGTGACACCTATGAGGTTATATGGGGGATGGAAAAAAAAAAAATGTATCCCAGGAAACCAGCCCCCTCAAATGCATCATTTACAGCACAGGAGAGGCGAGATGCAAATGAATCTGTTGTATATAATTGTAAGGTTATTAATTGTGGGTAATTAAGTGAAACATAATAGATGTAAATGTTTGGTCAGATCAGTGCATTTCTGGTGAGCGTGTTGTTGCAGCCCAGATTTTTGTGTGTGTGTTTGTGTGTGTGTGTGTGTGTGTGTGTGTGTGTGTGTGAGAGAGAGAATTCGGCGCATGTTTACTGTGACATTGGTTCCCCGATTGCTTGTTTTTCCATTGGGGGGGGGCATGGTGAGGTCATGACCTGACAGCTGACAGGGGGACAATCATGTGACTTAGATGTCCTTTTGGCACACCACCCACCGCAACTGAGATTGATGCTGTGGAGATGGGGGGGGGGGTGGTGGCTTAGCAGTGAGGTGACAGGGTGTGTTGGGTGCCCCCCCAAGCCCAGCATCGTAATCATAACTTCATCATGGTGGATTTGTGCTGAGGAAGATTTGTCTCAGGCTTAGATCTGCAGCCGGGGGGGTTGGTTGGGAGATTTGAGAAGAGCAAAGGAATGAAAAAAGCTGGGGGGAGGGGGGCAAATTGCCATTTGGGACTTGGTCTTTTGTAAAAGCAGATTAGATGAGATAGAGAGCGGGACAAATTTTAATTTGTCAGTATAGATGGTTGTGTAAGATGATAATGGAGGTTGGCTTTTTATACTGCTGGTATGATATTCTTAGAGAGATTGCACATCAATCTCATGGATTGGCATTATGGGGCTGCTCAGAAATGCACAGATGGGAGTTTTAAGAACTTGAGATTGTCCCATCTACATACCCACAGTCTGGAGAGGAAACACGTTATGAACTCATCTAAGTGGGCGTGGCCAAGGGAGTCATGTGGCACTAGCAGTCGGGTGACGGCTGTGATGTCATCCTCCTCATTGACGGACTTCACCTGATGTTCTTTCCTGGCATTTCCTGCTTGTTTTTGTATGTCTCCTGAGAATGCCACCAGAGAGGGCGCTGCAGAGCGAGTTAAAGCCATTGGCTTGGTCCAATCAGGACGCCCTCATTTAAAACTGGCCGTCCAGGTGGGTTTTTCAGGACGGCCATTTTGGGAGCTCGGCTGGTTTTCCCATCCTCTGCCGTTTGCTTTTCCGTAGACCCCCGGCCTCAGGGCCAGGCCCGGCCGCCTGCAGTGGTTTGCTGAGAAGTGCATCTCCAATGAGCAGGTGGGTGTCGCCGAGCCTTGCGGACCATCATGCTGTGCGCCGGGGTGGGTGATCCCTCACCGACTGTCAACCTTGGGCCGTAGATGGAACCCCTGGAGAACCTGGTGGAGATGACGACAAAGCTGTTCGAATGCGACAGGGATGAGATGTACCACTACATGCTCCGGCTCTGCAGTAGGTGTTCCTCAGACTTGAAGCCCCGCCCCTTCCGGGCCCATGTCTCTCACTCGACTTCCTTACCTGCCTAACAACTGTCACTTCATGTCTTCTAATGGGAAAACCAAGGGTGGGGAGTCTTAAAAGATAAGGGGGTGGAGGATTTGGTGGAAACTCCAAGTTACATTTGTGATTGATTGGCCTTTTCTCTGTGCTACTAAAGCCTCGAAACATTTGTTAGTCTGAGAGTTTAACTCTAGATGTGTAACTGTTCAGATTCGCCCTCTTGATTCTTTGATCGCTGTCTTCGGCTGACATGTTGCCATGGCGTTTCCCAGGTGACACAAACGACTGCCGCAAGGCAGAGTCTGCCTGGACAAAGATGCAGGAGGAGAACGTGATCCCTCGTGAGAGGACCCTTCGCCTACTGGCTGGCATTCTCAAACGCAATGGCCAGGAGGTGCCCTTTGGGGTGCCTGAGGTAAAATCACACACGTGTCCCAACTTTGGTTACTTTTGGTTAAGGTTAGGGCTGGGTAGGGGATAAGGTCGTCTTTGGTGGGATTAGGGTTTTGCCCATAGAAATGAATGGAGAGTCCCCACAAAGATATGAATACGAATGTGTATGTAAGGGGGAGTCCTACCATTTATTGTAGAGTTTAGATCCCCCTTGAGGGGGGGATGATTAATATGATAATGGTGGCTCCCCCCATGTCACCACGCTCCCTACATCCTTTAGCTTCTCCTACCCACAGAGCACAGATCACTATCTGGTGCTTTAAATCCCTGTCAAGTGCGATATTGGATTTTGATATGATCATGGGGGAATCTGGAGTTTAGTGGAATTAAACAGCCCCGTAGCCCAACTAATTCAGGCATGCTAAGTGGGGCCTGGTTTTTGGGGCCCCTCCCACATAGCTGATACTTTTATGTCCTAAAGTTAGTAAATTATATAAATAAATGTCCCCCTCTTCCCTTTGTCACGGGTTTATTTATTGACTTCCAACTGTTTCAGTGACTAAACAGTGTTTGGGTATGTTTGGCGTGTGCAGGCTTGGTACGTGGATGTCGAGACGGTGCCCCAGCAGGAAGAAACGTCAAAGGTCCCGGCCCTTGTGGTGAAAAGCAAGGGGTCAGCTCAGAGCGGCAGCTCGCCAGTGAAGGGTTTGGCTGCTGAGTACCAGGTTCGCCTCACAAAGCTGTGCAAGGCCAAGGATGGCAGTGCAGAAGGTATGCGGCCCCGGTGCATCGTGGTCTTTGTAGTTCAGACACCCATCGACAAGTCCTCAACCTATAGCACTGCCAGTTGGCTCTGCTGCTTGATTGTTGCAGGTGCAGATATTTATTAAGTCCCCCTACCCTTTAGCCAACACCCACGTCCCTGTTTCATCCCCCATCCCAGCTAGGTGCATGTCTTCCCCTAACCGGCTCCAGCCGTCTGACGGTTGGCGCTAATGCCAATGTGCCAGGTCTCGCTCCCTGTATCTTCTCTCCTGCTGGTCCTCCATGGGCACAGACCTGCTTTGTTTGGATGGCTTTGCACGCCGTTGGCCGCTGCCACAGAGTCTGGTGGCAGATGTTTTTCTCACCCGAGATCCGACTGAGAGACGGATTATTTCTTGTTTAATAGGCTTAGAACCAGAATGGAGTTTATCAAAAGGTGACCAACCGGTATGATGTTGGTTCTTACCACACAGGGCCGCAGTTTGGCCTCTCGCAGCCAGACGCTGTGCTTTCCCTGCAGTGGCACCTCCTCTTATCCCTGTGCCGTCCCTCTCTCCCCAGAGGTCTACACGCTGGTGAAGGAGGCAGACGGGAAGGGCGTGGCCCTCCGAGAGCCTGCCTACCTGACGGCCATCCGCTCGCTGCTGGCGAAAGGCTGTTTGACGGAGGCCCTGGAGGTTCGAGACATGTGAGTGTCTTTCTGAGAAGCCGTGGTATTCTTTAGCACATTGGTCCTTTCTGATGACAATGTTCCAGAAGACTCTAAGAATGGATAGAGTGTATGTGAGCTACAGTCTATCTGTCCGTGTCTTGTGTATTTTTACTTGCTGAACTCTCACGTCTCATGTCTTCCTGCGCTCCACCAGTCCAGATACTAATGTTATTTTCTTTGTCGCCCTGTTCTTCTTAAACAATCAAGGCCGTTTACATCGTCCTCCTCAGTTCTCATTGCTGGGGGGTGGATCGGCCGTGATTTAATCATGCTGTAGGATTACAGAGTTGCCTGGGCAGCAGTAATAGTGGGGGCATCATTTGACCCGCTCTCACGTTTGAGATGGTGAAATGTGGGACTGGGGGGGGGGCACTTGGGCTTGCACTGCATCACAACTGAGCAATGAGGCTCTAACAGAGAGATTAAGGGGATTGGGGAGATTGGCCGGGGGGGGGGAGGCCTAAAGAATTTCAGTGTCCCCCTAAAGCCCCCCTGGAGTGCAGGACATGAGAGGTTGTTCTGTGGGGTGGGGGGTGAGGAGGATTTTCTTGGGACCGACTAGAGTAATTCTGACCCTACGGTCCCCCCGGCAATCCGCTGAACGGCAGTGGGCCGGTCACCGTGGCGATAAGGATGAAGAGGAGCCGTCGATGCTCAATTGAACAGCCGGATTAATCTGCCCGGATCCTGTTTAAAAGAACCGAGGAGAAAAATACTTGGATTGAGCTTTAATGGCGTAGAAATTTTTTAAAAAGTGGTCATATATATATATTTTTTTGCCCCCACCTATTTTAAAAAGATTGAGCACAGTAGAGAAAGGGATTGTTCATCACAGGATTGTTAATATCCTATCAATCTCGTGTGAAACCCTGGAAAATCCGTTTTTAATATCTGTATTGATTGCCTTGACTTGGTCTTGTGGTCGTCCATCACTGGCTCACTGCTACCCCTCCCACCCCTACCCCCCCCCCCCCAGAGCTGCTAGGCACCTGCAGGACTTTATGCTGTGCGACACCTCCAACAGCCTCCTGATCACCACGCAGGTGAAGCGCGGCAAAGTCGGGGGTGAGTTGGCTCTGCCCCCTTCCACCCCAATGCCCCACCCCTGAGATCTGCTGCCCCGCCCTTTGGCCATATTTAACACTGCGCTCCCATCTACAGTCTGTGACACGTCTGTATCTTTGTCAGGAACAGTAATGTTAGTTTAATATTATTAGTTAATATGGGCTGTGTGAGAGGTGCCTTGATGTGAATTGAAGGTGGGAGCAGCTCACATCCGCCGGTAAAGATGCCCCGCAGTCCTCCTGAGGTTGCTTGCTGATTAGCGGCCTGGTGCTGTGGATTTATGAGTGAGTGGCCCCCTCTCCCCCACCCCCCAGATGCTCAGGCCACCCTCAGGGAGATGCTGCAGGCCCACCAGGTTCCCCAGCAGCTGTCCCTGACGCGCCTGGTGCAGGCTCTCTCTGGCAGCGGGGACGTGGAGGGCGTGAGAGAAGTAGAGGCCCAGACCAAGCAGCTGAGCTCCACCATCCACCTGTCCAAGATGCTCTTCATCAACAACATCGCCCTGGCGCACATCAAGAAGTAAGCGTCTTCTGACACCGGTACCGGTGGTGGCTGGGCCAGTCGAACAAGCTGGGGGCACAACTTGTTCCTATAAAAGAACGCCCCTTTAGGTGGAATAATGCTGCGTGATTGGGGTGACGTTCTGGTGTGAATAATTTAAGGCTGGACCTCTAACACAGTACCGCTATTCGGGATCCGCACGCCCAATCAGCTCGGCTCAGCCGTGTCATTCGCTTAGGCCGATGCACCGTGTCTGGGCTACTGCGCCGCCGCCTCCTGCATGGTCTCTGGGTCGCTGAACCTGTAATGTCCCCTCCCCCGCAGCGGAAACCTCCAGACAGCAGTCGAGGGACTTGAGGCCGTGTACATCCCCGCTACAGAGGCCCAAGAAGACAGCCAGCCGACCAACATCTCCTACATATTCCGTAAAGTGATAGAGGAGAAGAACGAGGAGGCTTTGGATAAGTGTAAGGGGGTGACGGCCACTCAGCCTCGGCCCTGCAGTGGCTTGTGGGATACGTGCAGACAGATGGGAGTAACCATGACAGTGAATGACAGGCTGTCTGAGCAGCTGTTTCTGCTTTCAGTGAGCGCCATGGCGGAGAGGCTGGCCAATCAGTTTGCTTCCTACTGGCCAGTCACCAGCCTGTTCCTGACCAACGTGGAGCTGGACCGGATCGACGAGGCCCGTTTCCAGCTGCAGGTAACTGGATGGCTGCTGTGGGAGCCTCAGCCCTTCTCTCCACTTTTAAGCAGTTCAGGGTCTGGTCTGCGAGCTTCTACTTCATACCCCTGTGTCAAGAGCAAGGAGGGAGGGGGCGGAGATCAGGATGTCCAAGTCTGTCTGGGCTGCTGCTTCGGAGCATTAGGTCTCCTTACTTTTCCAGGAAACTCTCAAGGTTGCCTCATTTCTGGAAAGTTCTTGAAGTAGGGAAGCAATTTTAAGGTTAAAAACATCCTCCTGTCTGTCTTTTGTCTGGCGGGATATCCATTATGACTCGGAAAAGCTTCTGACAGTAATTCAGAGGGTCTGATTAAGTACTTGAGAGACTCTGAGCGGAACTGGCGCTAACTGGATCCCTCAAGGCCGGGCTGTCGGTCTTTAGCAGACCTGCTAGAGCTTTTAAAGCGAACGCGGGGCAGCCGCTTGGGGCAGCGCCGGTGACTCCGGGGTGCCGCCAGGGATCCGGGGCCGCCGGGGATTCTGGGAGCGGCCGGGTCCGGCTCGAATGCACAGACCCATTTAATGGGCCCTGGGGGCCTGTTTTTTGGAGGGGAGGGGGGCTCACAAAACAAAATGACATCACTAGTTGGGGAAAGTGCCCTCATTCCCTGCCTGGGGCGTGTCGCCGGAGTGTATAACAGACACGGGGAGGGGTCCCCGGACTCCACAAGGTATGGGCTGTTTTTCGCGCTGCCCAAAGACGCCTCTCTCTCTCCAGGGATCAGACACTTGACTTGAGTTTTTTTTTTTGTTCTAAACGCTAATGGCATGTAATCATTTTATTATCCTCGCAACGGGGCTGTCAAATATCGGACTCGCCACCTCCATCGCTGCCTCTCACATCTTAATCCAGGCTCTCCTTCTCTCACATTCTCTCCCTGTCTGCTTGTCATTGCCACCCCCCCCCACCCCCACCCCACAGGCTGTTGGGTCGTTCTTCTAGGCGATCGGGTCCCCTGTCCTCAACGATGCTTGGTGCTGCTGATATTTAACTAACAGCCGGGAAAAAGGGCAGATATGAAAAGGGGGAAGGTGTGAGTGAAAAGGCTTTCAGACTGAGCAGGGAGATGGGAATCGCGCCTTTTGTGTGAATAAGTGCAGATAATTATACTTTAAAGAGAACAGGCGCTGTACGTTTAATTTTTATATAGAAATGAGCGGTTATCTGGCGGGAAACTTATGAACTGTGTAATTAACCTTCAGCTGTAGAGGAGACTTCAGCGTTCCAGGAGACATAAAGGACGGGCCTCGCGGTTCAGACGCGAGAGCACACACACACACACACACACACGCATATGCGGACCCTCTGATTTGCGATTAAAAGGTAGCCAGCTGATACAGAGCGTGTGTGTGTGTGTGTGTGTGTGTGTGTGTGTGTGTGTGTGTGGAAGACGGGTCCATATCCCGCTAAGCTAAATCACCCAATGCTAGTCAATGAGAGGATCCACAACTATGAGTTATAATCCCATGTTTCAAATGCACAACAGTGAAGCTAATGTCTTATGTTGTCCTCATATGCTTCCCATAGCGCGTCCCTGCCATTGCAGAGCAGAAGGGTGTGCTGACCACCTTCGTCACCAGGATGTCGCTGAAAAACGGCCACGTAAGACCATGATCAACCACGCCCCGCGCCACCCCTTGCACGTAACTCCCACTCCGTATCGCCAACTGAGTCTGTCTTCTCCACCTTAGGCACAGAAGATCCGAAACCTGGTGGATCTCCTTCCGGACATTCTGGAGAAGGAGGTTGTCTGCAGTTACCTAATGAAATGCTATAGTAAGCCCCGCCCCCCACCACCATCACGATCCAATTTGCCCCTTTTTTTTTTTATTTTTTAAATTGAGATCATTTCACCCGGTGGCTGATGTGATTTCACACGGTGTTTTCTGGTGAATGTTAATATTACTTATGATTAGTTAGGTGGCTCCAATGACAACGGCCAGGCTGACGCGTCGTGAACGGGCAGTTTTAAAAGTTCAGGAGAATCGGAGTCCCCCGATCGACTCCCGGGGTGGGGGTTGTGGAAGAGTGCCTGTTGAGCCCATTCTCTGCCGTCCAAAGCCCAACACGCTAAAGTACTTAGCCTTTTCTTTGTAGCGTTTCCATGATTATTTCATGCCCTGCTTTTGGGGAGCCCCCCAGCCACTGATGTGTTAGATTGGGGTTTTATACGTACCGTTTCACCCACCGCTCTTTCCCACCCCTACAGCCAGGGAGAAGGACTTTGCCGCGGCCAGGGAGCTGTATGCTCGCATGCAGACGGAGGGGACGCACGTGGATGAGCTGACCCTCAAGAGGCTCGCCGTCTTGTACAAGGAGGCTGGGGAGCCCATCCCGTTTGAGGAGCCCCTTGTAAGTCCCCCCCCCCCCCCCCCAGAAGAAAGTGCTCTGTTGAACCTGTTTTCAGCTTCCACATACATCTCCTCGCTTCTCCAACTCACACACCTCTTGCTGAGTGTCCCACATCCTGCTGAGCTAACTCCCTGACCCCCTGCCCCTCTTGCTCATCACCGCCCCCTGCTGGTTGGAGTATGCCCCACCTACCGAGAAGGGTTGTCGGCTCTGCACGGTGCATTGATCTGGGGGTCGCGTCCGTGCCACCCCCCTAATGTGGCCCCTGAGTGGAGATGGCCCATTGTGGGGAGTGATTAACTGGTGATTCGCTGCCTTAGTTGGCCCCCTACCAGGGCAAGGTGTGCATCGCACAGTGTTCCTGGAACAAGGGGGGGGGGGGGTTCTAAGGTTAATAGGGCCCTCCAAATTGGGCTGAATAATACCTTGGAAGAACCAGGCTGAGCAGATCGACAGGGCGCAGGAAGGGTGATGTGGACATTGTGGGGGTGAGCTTGCTGTTCATTCTGCGGGATGAAACTGTTTCAGAGAGACCCTCTGCTCTCCTGAACTCACACCTTCTGCTTAATACCTCTTGGGGGGGGGGGGGAGGGGGTGGATTGGATTGGATGTCATCAACAGCCTCCTATGGACCATCTACCAGTTTATCAGCTTTAATTACTCCTTTAATGGACACCAGTGTACATGGTAATCTTCGAGCATCTCCGCTTCAAAGGCTCACTTATCCGCAAATACCTCTTTGACTCGATACCCCAGGGTCGACCAAAACAAGTCGATTGTGCCGCTCGTGTTTCAGTGTGGCCCCGGAGATAAAACGCTGGCTCGTGATTGGTTCACCGGCTAATGAGGTATTGGACATAGCCTGGGCACAGGGTGCCCATGCCGATCCGGATGCTGTGTGGGTTGAGTAACTTTCGGTCGTCCTTCTGCTCTTTGCAGGAGTCCTTCAGCTTTTACGCTCAGAAGCTGAAGTCCCAGCGGCAAAAGCGGGATGAGGAGGAGTGACCAGTACCCCCCCCCCCCATCTGTTATTTTCACCCTGTTCTGTTATGCTTCTTTTTTAACATAAACTGTGCCAGCAGTATGTGAAACTGTGGAAAATCGAATGATATTAAACTCTGTGAGCCCCCAAATGATTCTGCTGTACAAAAGTATTTATGGTTGTCAATAAACACCGGTGATAAAAAAAGTGATTGGCTTCACATCTCTCCGCACCCCATCTGTCAAGCGGCTAGTGCGGGTCGGGCTCTGTGTCTCTTCTGAGCTGTGTGGTGCTTCTGCGCAGGCTGTAAGTTAGGAAGGTCTCCTTACCTAAAAAGCATTTTTCCTGCTGTACTTCTATTGACATGTATGCAGAAAACCTGCCTTGTAAAACCAGCGATGTAACAAAGAGCTGGCTGGTTGTCTGTGTCGCTAACGCACCGTAGCTCCTGTTGACGTACCTTTCTTTTGGCTCAGCAGACCGGTGTAACGATGCTAATTGGGGGCTCTCCTCCTGTCCAGTCGAGCTTCATGCCTTTAGAAAACATGTCCATTCTAACATGGCAAGGTCCATTTTCTGGACATCTGAGCCCGATTTCCACTAAATAAACCGTTGGTTGAAGTGAGAGAACATTTGGTCTGGGTTAATTGTACAAATCATCTTTTCTGTGTGGTGTCTACACATTTATTCTCACCACGTTCCTCCTCTCGCACTCTGACCTGCATATATCTCTGCATCTGTAATGGATCTGAGTTGCTCATGTGAGGCACAAACTGTAAATGGATTTCAAAAGATTTATTTTAAGAAATTTATCACTGACTAATCCACTGAACATTTGCACCAGTGCAAAAAAATTCACTCAGAATATAAGCTTTTCAAGACCAGCTTCTTCTGACATTCATGTTTATAATCTTTGCAAATAATATAAAATCAAGCTTTGAAAAGGAGACCACAAGTTGCTTGCAGATGTAAACTGGACAAAACATTTGTCAAAAAAAACTCATTTGTGTCTTTTTTCTGCGGGGCTGAAACTGCAGTGCTTTGCTGCCCTCCAGTGGCAGGCTGTGGTTCTGCAGATGGTAGGCCTAATGATCGAATTGGGGAATCGGACCCCAGAACACAATGATCTTCACCAATCCTGGCTGGACTTCTGTTTGATGAACTTCAGAGACAGGTAGTAGAGCAACATGAAGACGATGCAAACCGCTATGAGTACGAGGTAGCACGAGTACAGAGGGTACTGATTCATTTCCATGGCTTCTACCACCTGTCAAACAGAATGTTGAGAGATTATTACAAAAAAATGTGTTTTCAGTACATGTACATGGTGTTTTCAGTAGAGAAGCAATGGGGGGCTGACTTACTAATATCCCATCGATGTTTAAGGTGTAATTTCCCATGGTGATTGGGTACTTGAGTCCTCGAAACTGGACCTGCAGCATTCCCTCAAACCCCCAGCGCATGAAGGAGATGTAGGAGAACCAAGAGGCCACTGGAGGGCAGACACGAGCGTTGTGATGTTTACTGATAGACAATCTTAATTTTAAATGGTTATTTAGACCATTATGCATTTTTAAAGTGACTGATTATTTTTACAATAATGATCTTCCCCATTAGTGTGTGAGACTAAATGATGTTGCCGTATCCAACTTGACCATGTGACCATCCATGACCAACCACATCCATGTGGTAGATGGTGGGTCTGTGCTGGGGAAGGCGGGACTCACCCAGCCACATGTTGCCCAGGCTGATGACGAAGCCGCCCGTGAGGTAGAAGACGGTGAAGAGCGAATTGCCCATGAAGGCCGAGGTCTGCAGCGTGGGCAGGGCCGCCGCCACGAAGAGCGCCATGGAGCGGCTGCAGTACACCACCAGCCAGGTGAGCAGGAAGTTCAGCAGGAAGCGGTCCGGCGCCCCGTTCAGACCCGCCAGCCAGTAGATGGGTACTCCGTACACCAGCGTGAAGACACAGTGCTCAGGAAGCTCCCCCAAGACCTGCACATGGCACCGCGGGAGTAATCGGACGCAGGTACTGCTTATATTCCTTGATCGGCGGCATGAGTAACCACAGGGACGCTAATCTGCTATCACCTTGTTGATGCTGGTCTCCAGCTGGAAGGTCACGGGGCCCCCATTTCTCTGATTGGTCTATGTGTGTGTCCATTTTTCAGGACCCTAAATCAGCCTCCAAGGGTGTTTCTCAATACCAAGAATGCAAAGATTGGCAAAACTGGTCTTGCTAACTTGCCTCCCAAGAACGAACTTGGGACGCAATGCATCATGGGATTGTTCTCGTTTGGACGTAGATGCAGTCGATGTATCCTTGATATTTGGGGCGGGGCAAGAACGACATGCAGGGATTTTTTACCATCCTCTGTAGTTCTGTCCTTGAGTATCGTAGCTGGTCTTTGGCAATGGAAGATGACGTAAATCGGGTACATGAGAACACCAGTATGGTCAAGTACGCATATTGAGAAGCACTTCAAGAGTTGGAGGAAATGGCCAGCGCCTGTGTCGACTGGCCTGCTTCTTTATAAGCACTTTTCTTCTACTTCTATGCTGCTAAAAGTCCAGGCATGGATCTCTACTGACACCCAGTGGTAAAAGTGTGTTGGTGTTTTTTTATTGTTATTTTTGACTTCATAATGGGATTAACATGGTACCTTGGCAAAGAAGTATGATGTAACTGAGTACATTCCATCTTCAAGCTCGTGGTACAGCATCGCTCTTTCGGAGTGACCTGAGGGAATTAGACAAAGGCAGTCCAAAGCTCTTCCGGAGCTCTCACAGAATGACGTCATATTATTAAAATTACAGCACTTGTGAGAATTTAATTCAGCCTTGTCAATTTTGGAATAACAGTGTTGTTGCCAGGAGACTTGGGGCGACACTCACACTTGGCGATGACGTCCAGCACCACCGCAAAGGGAGTTAGCGCCCCCATCATGTAAAGGAGGGCCACAGTGTCCTGCACAGACAGGCGTGACTCTCCCGCTCCGAAGTACAAAAAGCCAATGAGCAGGGACATCAGAAGGGCCTCCAGCCCATGCACCAGCAGGGTGACCAGGTCCCGGAAGTCATTGTATACCTGCCTCCTGAGGTGTGAGGGAAACCTGGCATCATTGATGGGTGGAAACCAATCTGAAGGTGAATGAAGATATGAAACAGTGCCCCCTAGAGGTTGTACCTCAACAGGGTGGTGAACTGATGCCAGTGGCCGGGCAGGCGGTCCTTCTGATTGGACACGGCGATCACCTGCTCCTGGGGTGTCGAGGAGAGCTTGCTGCTGTAGGACAAGGATCAGCAGAAAGGCGTTTGACCAGATGCCCGAGGGAGGTAGGGTAGTTCAGGGAGGGAATCTGGGGTGGGGGCATCTGGGGTGTTCGTACCTGGGGGGCTCGATGGCAGCACTGGCCTCCTCACCCTTCCACATAAAGTCTGTAGTCCCCTTCACCTTCTCCACAAATTGGGCAGCCAGCACCCTAGCCCGCTCCAGACACTCCACCTCGCGCTCTGGGCTACGCCGGTCAATACTGATCAGGTCCACTAGAGGGCGCAGTGTGAAGGCCTAGACTTAGCTGCCTTCTGAAGCCAAATTGATAATCATCTGGTGATGGCACAGACCTACCGTAGAAGTCGGAGGGGTTGCAGTAGCGGGGGCAGGGGTGGCCCAGGGTGGTGAAGTAGGGCACCATGTCACGGGCAGGGCCAAAATACACCGCTGAGCCGGAGGAGAGCAGCACCACCAGGTCGAAGAGCTGGAAGATGTCCGAGCGTGGCTGGTGGACCGAGAGCAGCACCAGCCGGTTCCCCCGGGCCAGACGTGACAGAGTGATCACCAGGTTGTGTGCTGTGAAGCTGTCCAGACCTGAGGTGGGCTCATCCAGGATAAGGATGCCTGGGGAAATGGATCACAGTACAAATGAGGGCACCTACAGGAAGCTGAGAGTCACATGACACAGGTAGTACAGTTACTGCTACTAGAACTGTACGGCAGCAGTGAAACTCACTTGCAATGCAAATTTGAAGACTCTAATAGACCACGCTAACATAATCACATGCTGATATGTATGAGAGAGCTGCTTTTTAATGTTAAGTCAGCCAGAGGAACCTGCATGCTAAGCCCCCAGTGAACACTTTGTGATTTGTTATTGTCACATGTTATTGGTGGTGTCTCCATAGGACCCGCCCCTTTCATTCACTCTTGTCACATGTTATTGGTGGTGCCTCCATAGGACCCACCCCTTTCATTCACTCTTGTCACATGTTATTGGTGGTGCCTCCAATGGACCCGCCCCTTTCATTCACTCTTGCCACATACTATTGGTGGTGCCTCCATAGGACCCGCCCCTTCCCTTTCTGGATCCTGTCTGCTCCTAACCTCTCCAACACACCTGGGTTCCACAGCAGCTGCACGGCAATGCTGACCCGCCGCCTCTCTCCTCCGGACACGCCTCGCACGTACTCGTTGCCGACCCTGGTGTTGGAGCACTGCCGCAGACGCAACTCCGCGATCACGTCGTCCACCTGTACGGGTAGAAGGGGCTGCGGTCACAAGCTTGTACACTGTGTCACCCGACCCCAGGGATTGCTTCTATTCCGGGTGATGCGGAGAGGGGGGGATTTCACACATCACATGACCAGTGAAAGTAATAACAGAATGTATCATCCATTCTTGGATCCTGTCTATTTCTCAGCTATCAAAATTAAAGCAAAGCAAATAAGTTTAGTTTGATATGGTTTGGAATGTTCAGTCACCAGTTCAATCCAGGCTAATTAATAAATTAAGGAATGGAAAAAGCAGCCCTGCGAGCGAACCTTGAGTAGTATTGGCCTTGTCTATGTGATGGTTGTATCAGCCGATTTGACTGACTGATATATCGGCTCTTCCTCCCAGTTCCACCCACCCGCTGGTCTCGCTGGGCCTGGGTGAAGTGCGTGGGCAGCCGCAGCTTGGCCACGAAGGCCAGCGTCTCGCGCACGGTGAGGTGGGGCAGCAGGCGGTCGTCCTGCCGCACGTGGGCGATGCTCTTCTGCACCAGCTGGGGGGTGCTGGGCCGCCCGTTGACCAGCACCTGGCCTGACTTCACGGTGCCGCCCTGATCCCGGCATGTGACAATGTCCAGCAGCGAGGTTTTCCCACAGCCTGAGAGACACACACCAAACTGGTGTCATTCTTAAATTCAGTTTACATGTTACGTAATTAACTGCAGTTTATATATATATATCTTTTCTGAAATAATCTGATATTCCTCAGGTTATTGTATTAATAGAAAAATACACTTTGTGTTTTAAAAGCCTGCCCCCTGCAGCTGACAGGTGGGACTGCACACCTGAGCTGCCGATGACGGCCAGCATTTGGCCGCTGTGGACACGGAGGTTGAGGCCCTCGATGGCCATCTGCTTGCTGCACTGCATCTCCCAGGGCATCTTGAACTCAGACAGCTTCTCGTACCACGGTATCTGTGCTGCCGTGTCCACCTATCAGGGTACACGCGCACACACACACACACACACACACACACACACACACACTGTTATCTGTAGTGCCCAGTGACATGGTTATGTGTGAATACAGACAGGATTAATCCATCAAAGAGAAAATGAGCAGCTAAGAAGATTGCAAGATGTCTCAGGTCAGGTGGGGCTGACAGTTTGGTTCAAAGGGAATGAAAATAGACTACCGGTAGGTTTTTACCTCATAGTGCAGGTTCCTGACCTCGAGCTCATTACGGCGCCCTCCATAGGTGAAGTACAGGCTGCTGTCTTCCTCCGCGGACGAAAACAGCTGATCCTGTGGGTTCTGAGTACAAGCAGGAAGACACTCCTCACTATAATTTGCATTGCTTCTTTACTTAATGGGTCTAATTTGGTTACAGCGCCCTCTTCTGTCAATAGAGATAATAAAGTATAATTGCTCATTAGGAGGAGCTGTTTACCTAATTAAAGATCCCGTTGTAGTTTGACACTCAGCTGATCTCTGAAGGTCTCAGATGATTTATTTTGTTTTTCTTGTATTTCCAGGCGTCAGCAGATAAGTTATAATAATTTGTGTTGGCTACCAGTCAGAAGTTTTTGCACACACTGAGATTTTCTTCATTTGGATGAGACTCACTTAACATTTACTAAAAATACACTCAAAATTCTTTGCTAACAAATAAATTCACCACCGATTCACCATTTGAGTACCTTTACTAGCAAGAAAATGTCATATCTTTGATTCATCAAAAGTAATCTCAAAGTAACCTCCTCTAGCAGTTAAGTGAAATTTCTTCCTACAACGGACATCAAATATTGCTCTATTTAATGGGATGAATCAGATAACTAATGCATTTAAAGTCAAAGGACAGCCTAGAATGTGACTATGCCATCATCACACAACCAGTTAATAGGATGTCAGACACACACTGTTACATACTCTTTCCATGTTATAAAGGAAACTTGTTTTATTTGACCTATATTTTCACTTATAGTTCTTCACTCAGCATTCCAATGCTTAACAAGAATAAATAATCTGCAGTTTATGAAATAAATGGAAAAGTGTAAAAACCTGTGGTGTGCAGGGACTGGTAGTGGATCTGATACTTTAATTCAGCATCGGGGGGGGGGGTCAGAAGACCTGTGTCATCTTCAGTTCCACTTAGACTTTATAGGTATAGCAAAAAATTTATACCATCACATCACATTCATCACTTCCATCAGAAATACATTCTGCACGTTAATTTAATCACTGAGCTTCTTACATCAGTCAAATCCAATAAACAGGCCAGTTAATCTGTGATTCACAGATCTAAGCTGTATGTAGGGAATATGAAGGTAATATATGTAGGGAATAACCGACTTGAGATAATCAAATCAGCATTTATCGCTTTATCATTTTATCAGCTGCCTGCTCGGCGCTGAGTTTGGCGGTGAACACCCAGCTGGTCCAGGGTTCAGAGCAGAGCAGGGGTTATGTAATGTCAGAAGTTTTTAAGTCGAATGCACAATCATCCCGTAAACAATATCAACAATTTTCTCAGTACAGTAGAATAAACATGGGTATAGGTTGAGTTTGTCCGGTACGTTAGAGGGGGATATAAAGGAATCAGTGTATGAACGCAGACCGGACCAGGCAGAGTGCGTTTGTTTATGGTCTCTGTCCACGAGGCAGTAGGAATGTTGACTCACCTGCTGAGCGGGTCTTGTGTGGACGGGGTCCCTTCCTAATTCGAGGCTGCTCTCGGTCGCCATCGCTGCGCGCCGACTGTCTGGGGTCGCCGGGGTCACCTATCCGCACAGTCCTCGTGCTCTGTGATCTCCTGCCACTGCTCTGGTCTCCCCACTTCCCCAGGGTGCAGAATAAAAACCTTGCTCTCCACCCCCCTGGACGCAGCTGTCTGTATATGCCAGGGGGCCAAAGTTCTCTGATAAGGCTTGCCGGGTCTGCTGCACTGCACGGGGTCGGGCCGGCTTGGCTGTCGGCGCACGCCGTGGAGTGACCGCTGGATTGTAGCTCCGCGGTTGACGCCGGCCTGGGGGTGGACTTCACACACGCTGGACTGAGCTGACCGCAGCGGCCATGAACAGATCTTACTCCCTGTCTGGCGAGGGGAGGCGGGAGGATGGCGGTTATAAAGAGTCCTTTAAGTTTGTTCTGGAAACGGGTCCGCCGCTGACCCCGGTGCGTGTAGAGGAAGGCCGAGCCCCCTGCTGCCTGAGCGTAAGTCAGGTGTCCTACACTGTCAGGTAGGGGCAGCCGATCGCCTCTTGGCAGCTTACCATCCTACAGTGAGGGGGGGGGAGGAGGGTGTTGTAACTGCTGTTTGCTGTGAAGGATGACAATTCCTGCATGTAAACAGTACCGTCAGTGTTCTGATGCTGTAGGATCAAGCTGGAGTCGATCATGTTTTATAAGCCTAGATCAGGGGTAGCAAACCTGATCCGTGGAGAGTCGCTGTGGGTCCGGGTTTTTGGGATGACCTCACAATCAGCCAATAATAAAGCAGTGGTTCTCAACTCCAGTGCTGGTTACCCACTGTTATTGGCTGATTGAGAGGTCATCCCAAAACCCCACATCCACACTGACCCTCCACGGATCAGGTTCCCCACCTCTGGCCTAGATGAAGCTTCTCTTAGTGTCTTTCATTCTGTCCAGCTAGACACCTCCTATACACCTTTGTGCTCGTAAGACTGGCCCTGCAGTTTGTCCTGCCAATCCAGTGCTGTTAGTGAGCCGTGACTGGTGCATGTCAGCTGTGCTGTGACTCTTGGGAATCTTTGACATCAGAGCGTGGGTTTGTGCCTCGCAGCGAACGTCTAGGTCCATGGTGGGACCTGGCCTCCTACAAAAAGAAGTGGACCCGGCAGATCCTCAGAGATGTGTCCTTCCATGTGGAGAGCGGCCAGATCATGGGAATTCTGGGAAACTCCGGTGGGCACACTGGGATGGGTGGCGTTGCGATGATGGACTGGTGTGCACATGCCGTGCTTTTGGTGTAAATGTTTTACTATCTCCATTGTGATTGTGCGTACGACAGGCTCAGGGAAAACCACCCTCCTGGATGTGATCTCCGGCCGGATCGGGAACACGGGGCACCTCCAGGGAGAGGTGCTGGTGAATGGCAGGAAGCTGAAGAGAGATCAGTTCCAGGACTGCTTCTCTTATGTGCTACAGGTATCTACCACATGCGTGACAATGACACCGACTTCCTTGTCATCGTGTCAAGGACGCAGAAAGAGATCACAGGCCTGGAGAAGAAAGTTGAGGAGGACGTCAAGGTGAACTTTGGCCTTGTACACTTCTCCTTGGCATGCGAAGGGAAGTGTGTTAAAGGCCTGGAATAGGGTTACCTGAGGTCAGGGGACGGGACAACCTGGACGCTCCAGGTTGACGGCTCAGAATAACGAGGGGAATTATCTGCAGGTACCGATAGGTCGCTCGTTATCTTCCCAGGGAGTGTTCAAGTGGATCCACAGCTTAATGAAACAGCAAAGGATAAACTGCTTTCATATAATCTCTAATTTAACTTCATCCCGTTGATAAAATCCACAGTAGTTGCCAGAACAGCTGACTAATCCAGCCGTTTAATAATCATCGTAAGCTCCGGGTGGAGTGGTGATAATGTATCCGTTGGGGTTCGTAAATCCGGGGAGATTCCAAGGGGCGGCAGAGTTAAAAGATGCGTTTAGATGCTTCGGGGGGGTGGGAGTGCTGGGGGAGACTTGGAGCATGGCGGCTTAATCTCCTGACATGGCAGAAACAGGGGAGCCGGGTCTTCACCCTTAATTTCATGATGCATCGTTAATGTTCACCTCTTTGAAGACAGCGAGCGTCCCAACAAACATGGCTGGCTGTAAAAATTAAATTTTGAGGAAACTATTTTGCATGGTATGCCAAAGAGTCTTTGTAGTTTAAATTATTCCCTCTCAAAAAATTGTTTTAGCTGTTTTATACAGGGAGGTTTTTTCCCCCCCTGACAACAGCATACATTTCATGCTTGCTAGCATTTTTCCCACAATCTTTCCCATATTAGCTGTTGCAGAATAAAACAATGTTTGATCCTATAGCCGCTGGTTTGGTCTGAACCGGACGACATTGGGGTGTCTAGCTGCTCATTTGCACTGCTGTCTTTCTCCCTGTCAGAGTGACAACCTTCTCAGCTACCTAACGGTGGAGGAAACCCTGACCTTCACAGCGCAGCTTGCACTGAGGCAACACTCTGCGGATGCCATCCGCAAGAAGGTCAGCACAGATATCAGGATGTAGCATTATCAATATGCTAGACACTAGTATAGACAAACAAGGAGCATCCTCTAAACCAGGGGTGTCAAACTCCAGTCCTGGGGGGCCGGAGCCCTATGTAGCTTAGTTCTTTCCTATTCTACCACAAATGATTCAGCTCAAGAGCTGTGCTGTAATTAGCACAAGGAGTTGAATCAGGTGTGTTAAATGAGGGTAAGCCAAAAACTGTGCAGGGCTCTGGCCCCCCAGGACTGGAGTTTGACACCCCTGCTCTAAGCCCTACCGTAGACATAATCTGTCTAGACAGGGGGTGTTTCTCAGTATGGGTACTTGACTGTACTTGTGTTCCTGCATACCTGTTTTACGTCATCTTCCATTGCCGAAGACCAGTTCCAATACTCAAGAACAGAAATACAGAGGGTGGTAAAAATCGAGTACAGCAGTCTCAAAAAAGTGAAAAACAGCGGGAAAATTCTATCTGACAGAAAAGATGGAAACTTAGCTCAGAATAAGGTAGTACAGTTATGGTATGCATCTTCTTCCTCCGCCATTGCAAGAACATGCAACGGATCATGGGATTGTTCTTGTCTGGAAAGGACGCACCTGATGCATCCTTGATATTTGGGGAGGAGTAAGACCAAAATCTGGGGATTTTTACTGTCCACTGATCTTGTGATCTTAGTATTGGGACTGGTCTTTGGCAGTGGAAGATGACGTAGAACAGGTATACGAGGACACAAGTACGGTGAAGTACACATTGAGATTCAGCCCATAAGTATGATCTTTGTTTCTTGGTACACCTAGGGAGTATATCCTACCATAGATATATTACATAAACATAAATATATTTCATTAACATTGATAAAGTAGATAGTACCATAGATATCATGAAAGGACACAATATTCCAGGCACTGCCATAGATTATATACTCTGTAAAGCACCTCTGATCACAGGTGGTACAGTAGCACTGTAAAGCTGTTCATGTAGACTGTGAAATGTGAAGTACAATGAATGTGCAGATTGTTATTAGATTATTAATGTCATTTTTCATAGTGGTTCTGGGAGAGATGGAGGAGGCAAGTAGGAGGGTGGAATGACCTCTGACCTCCTGACCTGCAGGTGGGGGCAGTGATGGCGGAGCTTAGCCTGAGCCATGTGGCCCATAGCGTCATTGGGGGGCGAATCTTTCCCGGGATCTCGGGTGGGGAGAGGAGGCGGGTCTCCATTGCGAGCCAGCTGCTGCAGGACCCTAGTAAGTGAGAGGCCTCGTGACACATACACACACACGCACGTGCACGTGCACGCGCACACACACGCACACACACACACGCACGTGCACAAGCACACGCACACGCACACACACACACACACTGATGGCTATTCCAGCATTGTCAAGTCTGTGCTCACACGCACATGCACACATGTGTCATCCTCTTGTACATACATGCCATACTGAAGACATACAGATGCTGTAGCACCACCTTCCTCCACCCTTGGCAGCAGGCGCCCGCTGACTCCCAGCCCCAGAAGGCACAGAAATGCTCCTTCGTTCTGCCCAACGAGAAGGAGGGGGGAGATGGGGGCCTGGGAACTGGGAACTGGGCGGAGGCAGTATGTGTGAGGAGGAGCAGGTTATAATGGACCGAGGATTAGACAGCGTCCCTCTGAGAGGCCCCCGGACTGGGCACCGTTACAGGGCTCACCCCGATTAGACGGGCAATTTGCAGGAATGCTGAAGTCTGCTGTGACAAGGACCTCCAATCCACTGGCTTATCCAATCAAGCAAGACATTTATTAATTAGAAATTACAATTAATTCCTTTCTTAATCACTTCCTCACTTAATAAAAAAATTAATTGTTCTAATTGCAGAATTTCAAAAAGTTGTCAGCCTCCTTATCTTAATGAGTGCTGAGCCTGTTCTCCAGAGAGGGCAGACACTCTACTAATGTCAAGCTGCTTTTGAAAACTTTTCTTACTTCAAAGTTCTCCTCATAACCCCCCCCCCCCCAGAGATCATCCTGTTGGATGAGCCAACCACAGGTCTGGACAGCATGACGGCCAATCAGATAGTGGTCCTTCTGGCTGAGCTGGCCAAGAGGGACCGTATCGTCATAGTAACCATCCACCAGCCCCGTTCCGAGCTCTTTAAGGTGAGTCTTTTTGGGCCTGCTTCTCATCTGTTTCTTATATTTTGCTTTATATTATGTATCACTTTTCATATTTGTATGTTGTCCAGAAATGTAGACAGTCCCTTTTAGAGTATTAATTGTGTTCTATCAAACTGTACTCTTAGTGTAAAGAGTATGTCACAGCTGTACAGTGAGTCTGATTGTCTTGTATGGTGACCATGCCTTCAGTTAGAAGTGACCAAAACCTGTTCATAACGCAGGTGTTCAGCAGGATAGCCATCATGAGCCTGGGGGAGCTGGTGTTCTGCGGGCAGCCAGAAGAGATGGTCGATTTCTTCAGTGACTGTGGATATGAGTGTCCCGAGTACTGCAACCCCTTTGACATCTACGGTTTGTCCCTTGCCATTTCACACACACACACACACACACACACACACACACACACACACACACATGTAGGGAAAACATATCCTTATGGGGACCGCT